GGCAGGAATGTGCTAAGCAAATAAACACATATAACAAACAATGATCCATGTTAAGTATAATGAAAGCAAATCAAGACTAAAATGAAATCAGCAGTTCACCTTCCGTTTTATTCCCTTTTTCGCAGTGAAGACCTGTGTGGTTTGTGTGTTTACATTTAAAATCTTTCAGTGAAACAAATGGTGGTTTCACGGGAAGCCTGAACTGTATGGTATGGATGAGATACACAGGAAGAGTCTATCTGCAAACAGATATATATTTTAGGAAGTTAACTGACTGATCCTATATTGAACGCACCTAACTCTGCATAGGATTGGGTTTAAGAGTTTATAATCTGAGTCCAAACATAGTCCAGGGCTCTTTTTGTAGAAAAAGCACAGCAGGAACTCATTCATATAATAGGCCATACCCAACAGCAGGAACTCATTAGCATATTAGGCCACACCCCTGCCAGCACAGCTCATTACCACATTAGGACACACCCCCATGTTACCAGAAGTGTGCTCATCCAGCCACACCCACCTTTTGCTTGTTATTCTGTTTACCTTGTCTGTTGTCAAAACCCAGGGCTTTTTTTGTAGCAGGAACTCCTTTGCATGTTAGGCCACACACCCCTAATGTAGCCAATCCTAATGAGCTTCTGCTGTTGGGTGTGGCCTATTATGCTAATGAGTTCCTGCTGAGTGTGGCGAACTTGGGAGCCAGCCGGAACTCCGTTCCTGTGCGTTCCTGCCCAAAAATAGCCCTGCCCACTCAGATGTAAATCCAATTGAACTCATTGGGACTTACAGAGGAGGACACATCAATATTTGAGAGACACAATTTATAATTCCTTTCACAGATCTCTCACAACCTGAAAAAAACTTGTCCTATTTCCCTTTTCTAGTCCTGAAAAGATGCCACATAATAGGGCTTCATAGTTCTAGGATATAATTCTAGGACGTAGACCTCACATTACAGGGGATTCAACTTGGAAAAGCACTCTATATTCTATTGCTCAGTTCCCCTTCCCTCAGCTCCTGTTCACTGATCTGTTTCTTCTTACTTGCTGGTCAGCCCATCAGCAACAGCACATCCATTGTTTTGGTAGACTTGTTTGGTACAAAAAGAGGCAAAATGATGACGCGACCTCCACTCAGGCAACAGACCTGGTGTCGTCCATGGTGGCACTAGAACTCTCCCAATTTATAACAGCTCCCACTCAATGGGCTGGACACACACTTGATTTGATCTTCGCTCTGGGGGTTACACTGGACCAGATTACTGCTCTGGCAGTACCATGGTTGGACTACTTTGCCTTGGAGGCTCGTTTGAATGTTTCACTCTGACCCTGTTTGGGCAGCGAGCCCATTTTGGCTCACCCGTGGAGCCAAATGGACCCAGTGCGGCTTCAGATGGCTCTACGAGACCTGAAGCCCCTGGCAGCTCATTAGATGAGCTTGTAGAGGACTGGCATAGCCGACTCTTGACAGCCATCGATGAGATTGCTCCCCAGCGCCCTCTGCGCCCCTGTTCTAGGCTCACTCCATGGTTTACCCAGTAGCTGTGGCTGATGAAGCAGGGGTTAAGATGGCTAAAGAGACAGAGGCGATGCGCTTGCAATGTAGCTTCAAGAACATCCCTATAGGATGCTTATGAGATCCTATGAGGTGGCAGTCAAGGCCGCTAAGAGATAATACTATACAGCTGCGATTGCGTCTGCAAGCTCACGCCCAGCTCAATTGTTTAGAATGATTCGGTCTATTACTGCTCCGCCGCAAAGCAGACCAAACGCTAGGGAATTGGACACTGGCCGTGAGGCTTTTGCAAGCTAGTTTGCAGATAAAGTCCTCTCGCTCCACCGTGACCTCCCCGCCACAGTTGATACAGTGAGTGAACTTGAGGCTCCATGCACATCTTCTAGTCAGGTTATGGATCAGTTCGGCCCACTCAGCCTAGAGGAAGTCAACAAGCTGATCCTAACTGTACGCCCTACCACTTGCTCCCTTGATCAGTCCCCTTCGTGGCTAATTAAAGCTGGCCACAAGGGGTTCCGAGCAATGTTCCCTCTAAGCTGAGTTAGTGTGAGCTAGCTCACATTTTTGTAGCCTCCGGCTCACAGATTTTGGTCTTAGCTCAGGAAGGAGGGCTCCAAAGCAAACTGATTTATGCAGCAGCCAAATCGCTTGCTCACAACTTTAATGCTGGTAGCTCACAAAGCAGAATTTTTGCTCACAAGACTCTACAGCTTAGTGGGAACATTGGTTCCGAGGTGCCCTTTGGCAGATTATCAACAAGTCCCTCTTGGAGGGGCTGTTCCCGGGGTCACTTAAGGAAGCAGTAGTCTGCCCTCTCTTGAAAAAGACACCTTTGGATCCAGCTGAATTGGCTAATTATCGGCCGGTTTCCAACTTGCCGTGTTTGGCACTTGAAAACTTTAGGATGTGCTGCTTCTATTTATTGTTATTTGAGTTTTAATGTAACAATAATTATTGTATTAATACCTTTAGTACTGGCATCTTTCATTTTTAAATCTTCTTATTAAAATTTTGGGGAGCTGATCCCATAATGATTCCTTTGAGTAAGTTATTCCATTCACTGCCTCAAGGAAAACTTGCTTAGGGTGAACTCAAGCTGGAGAGAGTGAAATATGATCATCAGCATATTGCACTTTGTCTGAACTGCATTTGCATAGGACAGGGGTACAAAGGGAAATGAATGAAGTTAGGAAAACTATATGTAAGTGTGCCTGCAGCAAGATCCAACAGTATAATATAAAGCAAGAAAGCAAGTTGCTACACAAACATATAAAATAAAATATATTTGTTTTATATCTTCTGTCGGACTTGCTTAGTAGCAAGGTATCTTCTAATTGCTATGAGGATTCAGGGGCATAAGGTAAAATCCTCTGGATTTATTTATTCATTTAGATTTTTAGGCTGCCCTTCCTTGCAAACAAGGCTCATGGTGGCTTACGTGGATAAGTTCTCCATTTCTAATGCTAAAATTATACTTGTTTTGTTTATGTTTATAATTTATGCCAATAAAGGTACTGAACTGATATAAAATATTATATTATTTCATGAAAACATTATTCATATTGTGCAAATATAGCAGGAATAATGCATGCAAATTACTTTTTGTATTGAGAGTGGCTGAAAAATACCACAACTATTTTGGATATGTTTATTTATAATTTACCTGGTCAATAGTGTTACAATCAGCTGAAAATCTGTTCAAGATACTTCCAAGTGGTGTTGTTTCAAAAAACCTGAAATAAGCAATATAGAAAGATAATTGATTTATGAAGGAATTTTAAAATTTGCATATTCCTTCATTGCTATATATTAGTTTATATACTATACACTATATATAGGGCTTTTTTGTAGAAAAAGCCCAGCAGGAACTCATTAGCATAATAGGCCACACCCAACAGCAGGAACTCATTAGCATATAAGTCCACATCCCTGACAGCACAGCACATTGGCATATTAGGCCACACCCCCATGTTACCAGAAGTGTGCTCATCCAGCCACACCCACCTTTTGCTTCTTATTCTGTTTACCTTGTTTGTTGTCAAAACCCAGGGCTTTTTTGTAGCAGGAACTCCTTTGCATGTTAGACCACACACCCCTAATGTAGCCAATCCTAATGAGTTTCTGATGTTGGGTGTGGCCTATTATGCTAAAATGAGTTCCTGCTGGGCGTGGCCAACTTGGGAGCCAGCCGGAACTCCGTTCCTGTGCGTTCCTGCCCAAAAACAGCCCTGCCTATATACTAGTTTAATGTCATAAAGCTCTGCTGTTTGATATTGGGGAACAAGGGACATAATTAAGCAACTCTAAAAATACTCTGGATTTTATTTATTTATTCATTTCTTGGGATTTATATCCCACTCTCCCCTGCAAGTAGGCTCAGAACAGGTTACAATATCCTAATAAAACAGATAAAAACAATCTATATACAATCCAATTTAGAAACCAAGCGATAGATTAACCGATGATGGCATGCTAAAAACATTGATAAAATTAACACATCCTGGGGACGTGGTGTAGATGTGTGCGGGAAACCCGTGTATCAGCAGGTGGGCCCAGGCCAATGCCTATGGCATAAATTGTTGCAGTACATAATTTAAGCGGGTTTGTGCACATCTCATTCGTTATACAAAACAAATACAATAATTAAATTGGTGTAATTGTTTCCAATTTATGGACAGAAAGAACAAGACAAAATTTACAAAAATAGATAAAATGAATAAATAATAATTAATAAAACTTCACAAACATTGATGCATGAACTTAGCATGGTATGTATTTTGCATAAAATAAAACAAAAATGTGATTCTAAGTCTTCAAGTTACACACACACACACAGAATACACTCCTCTAATCATTGTATTGCTTCAGGCTGAGAGAGGGAATAATGTGTTTGAATCCTGTGTTTCATTAAAAACTCCCAGGGTCTAGAAAGGTAGCAGATCAAGGAAAAGGCTGGTCTACAATTTTTCCCCACTACATGCTAGTTTTTTATGACATGGCAGGGTTCAATCAAATGTGTGTTGAAGCTCTAGCAGAACCATGCTTCTTTTTATTTGGCCTTTGTAACTGGAATAACTTGTTTAAGAGCTTACTGACATTTTATAAAAATGCAGTGGTAATAATTTGAACCTAAAAACATTAGGTCCAATCCAATGAATAGTAAGCTCATCTTTGCTGATGGAACAGAAATATCCCATCTCCCCCTTCCTGCTGCAGCCTACCAAGACCCCTGTAATGTTGACTTGTGCTGGGCATGATGTGGAAAACTAGAGAGGGAAAGGAGAACTGGAGAAAATACCACCCTCTGTTACGGACGGAAGTGCTCTTCTGTCAGAGGAAAATGAGGGTTGTGGAGAACCCATTATTTTTATCATACAGAAATCTGTATTTTTATCCCGCAAACCATCAAGTCTGTTACTTCTTCATTGTACATAAAACAGAACATATGATAAATGCATCAAAGAGGGAGAAAAGTGTCTTTACATCACTATTATTGCATTTCACTTGCAGAGATAAACATTCTATTCAGGACTATAATTACTTCTTTACAAAATCAGTGATGAAACTGGTGCCTAAGTGAGATCTGTAAAAGGCTGCTAGGTTCCATTGTAATTGCAGAGATGTGTCTGATGGGAATTCAGTAATTGCTTTGTTAACATGATTAAGTAAATGAGCATCATCACCATCACCTTCAGTTACTAGTAAACATTATATTAGTGGCATTTTCTTTCAATATTTAATGAGCTTGGGAAGAAATAGGTTTTCACGGATTATCTAAACCCTGAGTGTATTCTGAATAACTATATATAGTAAGCAAACATGTTATGTATTTCGTAAGAAGCTCTCCATTTTTTATATTGGATCCATCTGTGGGAGTAATGTGTGGGATAACTGTGTTAATGTGAGGAGAGAATGTTTGAAAGGAATTTGAGGGAAGGACTGAACTTGGATCTAGAGTTAGGCAGTAGTATGGGAAGGTGATGACTAGATATACTCCACAGACAACATCTTTTATAATGTATATTATTTCTGGTTATAGCAAATTATAATAAGAATGATACTGACTGACTTGTGTGAAGGGGAGGGAAGATGGTTAATGTATTTGGGCTGGTGGATTGAACAAAATGGCCTTTTGGCTCCTGTTGTGATAACAGTGATAACAGGGGTCATTTCCTGCGGGAGCGCACAGGAGCGGAGCTCTGGCAGTAAGGAGCTCAGGGGGCGGGAACATGCAACAAGCCCCGCCCCCTGCTCCCAGCAGCTCTCAGTTGGGCCATGAGGAGCAAAGAAGCAGCCAGGTAAGAAGCAGCCAGGTAAGTCCCCCTGCCTGCCTTCAGGTACAAGTGCTCCCTCCTCTGTGAGGGCAGATCTGCACGTTTCCCCCCCAATAGCTAGCAATCCAAAACAGTCCAGTAGAGCCTGAGTGGTGGGTGTTGCCTTCTGACACAGTTCTGGTGATGTCAGGGGGTGTGACATATGCAAATAAATTATGCTAATAAGTTATGCTTATGAGCTCCTGCACCTCTTTTTCTACAAAATGACCCTTGAACAGAAGTATGGATTTGTTTAGTGGAGCTGTGTTGAGACTGGGGCAAAGACCTCTTTCAAGAAAAGGCACATTGGGCTAGGAGGAAATTAGAGACCTTGAATGCTTATGAAAAGGCAGAATTGGATTGAGTGATGAATGAGGGAGTGTACAGGATGGTGTGGTAGGTCAATAAGGGGATATAATAATTTTCTGTGATCACCCCATATTTTTGTTTACTATAGTTGTAAGCTATTGTGGACAGGAAACTGTATATTTGTATATTAGTACACAACATAAGACCTTGGAATATGACATGCTACAAATGAAATACGAATAAACAACTAAACAATAACTAATCATTAGGGTAGAACAGCATTTGAAACACTTTCCTGAAATTATACAACTGTGTCATAATAGTGTTCTTTTATATTATTTAGATATAGCAGAATACCTCATTGGGGCCAAAATAATTTTATTCAGCAGATAAGAATGTAGTTTCTTGGCAACTTTTAGACCAGTCCACTCTACTGCTATTGATGTTACAAAACATAATATAATTCCAAGGCAGGAGAGAATGCTGAATACTCTAGAATAGGGAGAATGATTAAAAGTGGTTGCCTAAGAAAGAAAAAAAGAAAGAAAGACAATGAAACAAAAACATTTAATATTTCTGTTAACCTATAGGATTAATTATGTTGAGAGGCATCCCGGCTTATTGTACCACATAGTCATAATGCAATTTTCACTCTTTATTTCATTGAGATTTTGAAAAACTAAGATATATATTGTCAATCTAGGCAAGTTTAGCCGATGAGAATAAGGCATTGGTGATTTTACCTCAACATATGAAATTAGAATTAATCAAGCTATTGTTCCCTTCTCTGGAATTTTGCATTAAGGTATATACCCAAATTTATCTAATAATCAGCAGATACAACTCTTATTTCTGAATACAAAACCCATCAATTACTATAATTCAATAGCTGCCCAGAAGTGGTAATTTCAGTTGAATAAGATTATGGGCTTGTTCAGTCAATGCTTCATATAGCCTGGATGAGTAGGACCAGGTAGTTCACGAGACTGTGTCCATTGACCTGTCCGTTAGGGATGATCACAGAATCTACTTCAATTTACATCTGATTTTGCCAGCTTTTTTAAGTGTAGTGGAAGATGTTTGGAGCAGAATCAAAGGAATACTATGAGACAGAAGCCAGATAAATCTATTAATCTATACTTTCCATACAGAAACCCTATGAAATTGATACATGAAGCACATAAATATCGGGCTGGCCCACACTTGAAATAGATGATATTAATAAGTTTTTAAAGGTAATGTTCTTTGATTCAAGTATGTCTTCTCTATTAACAAAATTTCTACGACAATGCAGGTTTGCCTAAGACATAATTCCACACCTTTACTGTTAGAGCAATGAGTTCCCTAGCAATTTCTACTAAGATGAGCTAAAATGATGTACAAAGAGATGAATTCTTTCAGAAATGATGCAAAGTGGTGTACAGAGAACAGCTTTATTTTATGAAATATAACTGTAGTAGTTGCTTCTGGTTTTTTTTTTAGCACAGTGATTAATCTACAAGATGAAATCATGCACCAACAATGAGGAGTAGAGGCAGCGACGTGTAGTGGCGATGTCATGCCATGGGGACTTTCGGTAGATGTTACGGAGAACTGGGGAAAGCCAGACATGGGGGTGCCATTTTGGATGATGGTCCTAGATCTTCCATGACAACATACAATTTGTTCAAAATAACACTTACACATCCCTGCTCACATTGCAAAATGTAGGCTTTCCTAAAGAGATTAATCTCTGTGTTGGAAAAACCAATGTGTGAAACTATCTGAAAATCTTTATTTCCTTACAGGAATTGTTACATTGGAAGTTTAGCAAAGAATGCTGCTTGAAATATCTTTTTGTCAAAAGATATTTGAGAATGAGATACAAGAGCCTATATGTGAGAAAAGAATTGCCTAAGGAAGCCTCAATTCCAGTTGGTATAAATAAACGTTTCAAAGAAGCTGGAATGTTACAATTCAAAAGAAACAACAACAACACAGCAATAATTTCTACTGTGATTATTTTCAACCACCAATTTTCTGCACCCTTTAGCCTGGCAGGTATGAACATTTTGTGGCATATCTTTCCTAAGAGAAATATATTATTTTGTCACTTGAGACTGGAATTGAGAGAAATTTCCTTTCCAAGTCAAGGTTTTGAATCAGGGTGCACTGGCGTTTAAGGCTGCAGGATAAAGTTGGCCCTGCACGCTGGAAGAGCACCTACTAGTGGCCGTCACTTTGCACAAGGTGGGCAGGAGCCAGCACACCTCACTCTGCCCAAGGCAAGTTGGTACAGGTAGCCCTAACAACATTTAAGGTGGGTGTGCTGCACGAGGTGGGTGGGCAGGACTGGTGGCCCAGCATTGTGAGAAATGAAATAAATAAAGGGACTTCTGATAAAGAAAATCTTAAATACCTTGCTTTAAACTGTAGTAGAAAAAATATTGCTTGAAATCAATTAATGCTTATTATGAAACCAGACAGTAGGCTTGCACAAACAAGAATAGGGACTTCTGGTCATGAATCTTATAAATCCAGAGGTGCTTAACTACCTATAAAAATATAGTATCTGAACCTAAATGCTTGAGCAGGCTGGCTTGCTATAAGAGACAGCAGAAGAGTTGACTGTTGGCTGGGGTGGGGTAACCTTTTAGACCACAAGATATGCTATCTCAGCAGACCCTCTGGAGGGAGGGGTTTCCACAGAGAAAGAGCAGAACTCTCAACAGAGGCGTTACGGCACCTCCTCTAGGCGAATGGGATTGGAAGACTGTACGTTTTGGTCACCAGGAAGGGGGCCGAGACAGGGCGTTTGTTATTTTCTATACCTCTCCGGGATAGTATATATATCTGCTGATTAACTCCATTTGGGGTGTTCAGTTCTCTGAGCTGGGCACCCTGCTTGCAAGCTGTATATCCAATAAAATCTTCTGCTTCATCGAAAGAGTCTGTCTCCTAGAATTCCTTACTGGGTAAGCACCAAAACCATATCCTTCCGCATGATCTTCTCCCCTCCCTCCATTTGAGGATGGGGGCGGGTCAGGAGATGAGTCCATTTTCAG